GGTGCATCTCTAGGCATGAATGCAAGTGAAGCACATCTCCTTAACTGGGTTATCATTTTGCAATAGTGTTGCTGCCCTAGGCAATTGCAGAAAATGGTCTTTTTAAAAATGTATAATAAAAAAAACAAAATTTTACGCTGAAATAATAAAATTATTAACTCTACAGAGCAGCAAACTTTTCATATGACCTTTTATATTCAATTTGACAACAGCAAAAGACATTGAGCTGCAAACAGGCTATGATAGTTAAAATCTGGAGAGGAGCTGAATTTCAATTAGACTGTTTTCTTGATATAAGCGTTTCTTATTTAGTTTATTGACGTCATTTGAAAATAGCTTCTCTATGAACTTTAGTTAAACTCCTGCATTGAAACATGTCTTCTGTTAATGTCTGTTTAAAAGCTAGTCGGGACTGTCGGCTCTGTGTGGTGTTCAGATATCAACTGCTGCTTTCAGTGTGAGTGTTGTCGGCAGCTGAAGAGTCCTGTTGCTCAGATACCTTCATGCAACAACCATGAAACTCCCTCAAGAGGTCAAAGGAATGTCCTCATTCTCACCCTTTTTTTTTTTTTTTTTGCTCACTCTATTCTCATACACTTAGCTTTCTCATCTTTTTTGTGATTGTCAATTTGCATATGCACTTTTGCTGCCTGTCCTATGTGAGCTCTGTCATGCAAACACAGTGGGAACTGTGAGGAGTACATCATAGCATTATAAGAAACGAGGTGGTGCTTCTTTTGTTCCCTTATATACAAGGTATGTCTGCCATATTAATATAGAGGCAAGGCTTTGTTGCCTTGACAGCGAGGGTTTCATGGTGCCTCTCTTGTGCAGGAACAGTTCATTAAGAAGCATACCTGCCCTCCTCTGCTCATATTCGGCTGTCAGTTTGAGCCTGCAGATTGATTTCTATCTCCTGCTGTAAATAGAGGAGGACTATGTTTACTAGCTCCATCACTGGCCTTTGGCTCTTGTAGCTCTTTTGATCGCCTGTGAAGAAAGCAGGTTGACTTTTCCCGACAACAGACCACACTTATCGCTACAGGGTCTCTCACAGACCTTGGAGCAATCAGAAATCCATTTGTGCAGTTTTGTTTGCCTTTGCTGCTTCCCTCCTAACGGGTAATTGCACATGGTCGCCACTGGCAGCTGTTTCCCCTGACTAATCGGGGTTGTAGAGGAAGTCATGGTTATCTGAGGTTTGCTGAGGTCGGAGCAGCTGAGTCTCTATACATCATTGTCTTTGTGTTTTTAGTGCATCCTTTTGTGCTTCGGCTCTCTGATCTTTGTCTTCTCTTCACAGGCCATGCTAATGAGGCAGCAAGACAGACTGGATTGTCGTGTTCAGAACATCGATGAGCAGCTCAGCAAGCTGGAGTCAGATAAGACCCTTCTGAAGGTGAATAGAAGCACCAGTGGCTTTGGGCTAAAACATTGCTTGCTGTATAGAAGCAGCTTTACCTTTTTCTTTCCTTTATTCCAAAATCAAGTCAGTAACTTACTTTAAATAACCATAACTCCACCCATTTGGGTTGGTAATACAGTCAGATGAGTCACACCTTACCACCAAGTTAACAATTGCATTCATAAAGAGAAATAGATTTAGTTTTACTTTGAGAAATTAACATTTATAGAAATATTTATCTATTAAAGACTGTCAAATTAAATGCAAAGCTAATGCTGCTCATCAACTGTTTGCTAAATAACGTTGAAAAAACTTCAATTAAATACAATACACAATACAATGGAAATCAGGCTATTTTCATACCAGTAGAGGAATAGTTCATCAAAATGCTTGATAAGCTAAAACACTGAAGAGCCTTTTTGGCTCTAAGATGACAAGAGGAAGAACATTTTGATACACTTTTAGGAGCCGCTGTTAAAAGGATAGATTTCTGAGAAATGTCAATTCTGCTAATGGATTTTTATCAAAAATATTAAAAAATCTTATGCAGTCAAACTAGGGCTGCAATGATTATTTTGCAAATCGATTAATCTATTGATTTTTTTTTTGATTCATCAATTAATAATTGGATAGCCAAAGGTTCCTTAAAGAAGATTTTATTTTACAGAATAAACCAGGTGAAACTGAAACGTTTCCACTCCAGAAGTTCTGGATAAAGTATACTGACAGATAAAATCATAATTTTTATCTTAAATGCAAAATGTTTACATGTTTCTTTTGAATCTTTTACAAGCAAAAAAAGATTTTTTAAATGCTCTATAATCCATTTAACAATTAATCGATTACTAAATTAGTTGACGATGATTTCACTTATCGATTCATCACATTTAATCCGATTAGTTGTTTCAGCCCTAGGTTAAAACACTTTGCCACTAATCAAGCAGTTTGCTAAGATCATTGTCCATCTAAAAGGGCTACTGGTGCCCAGGTTTTAACTTCCTTCATGCTGTCTTTCTGTGAGTGGCAGTAAACAAACCCACAGCATGAAACAATGGTTTAGATTGTAACTTATTTAGAACACAGGACATGTGAACAGACATGTTCCTTTGTGCATTTCTGGGTAAGACTTGTTTGCTTTTTTTCTTTATTTCACTATACACCAAGTATCCAAAGTACTTAAGGAGATTTTCAAAACTTATAACTGGTTTTAATGTTGCTTTAAGAGTAATGGCTTCTTCCTTGCTGAGTGGCCTTGTTGCAAGGCACAGCACAGGACTGATCTCATAGTCCATAATGACACTCTTCTATAAAAAGCGTCTTTAACAAAGGTCTTATTCTTTTCTTTACACTTTTGGCAGCAAAACCAGTTCCTCAGACTTTTTTGATCAGACATTAAGAGTTTATTATGTCTAAGTAAAGAAAACAAGCTGATCAGTTAAAGTAGCAGTGGAGCAAAAAGTATTTGACTTATAAAATTGAGTATTCTACAAATATATGCAACTTACCACTGCTTCTGCATTAAGGAAAGTAGTTTTTTTAGGGCATTTAAATAATCTTTTTTTTTTTTAGCATTTCTTGAAAAGACCATCTTTAGTCGACGTGTGTTTGTTTGGTAAAATACTCCTCCAGTAAGTCGGCGCTGTGCTTTGCTAGCTAACGTATTCCCTTCCCCACAGGAGGCCGTGTGCGAGCTGAAGGAGCGTGTCCGAGCTCAGTACCAGAGGATGCACGCGCTGCTGGAGGCGAACCAAGCGGAGGCCGTGCAGATGCTGGAGAGCACTTACACCATGTACACGCGCAAGAACTCCCAGCAGGTCTTACAGCTCAATGAGAAGCGGCAGGAGTCAGAGAAGCTACTGAGCTCGGCGCAGTCGTTCTTCCAAAGAGCAGAGAGTTTAAACTTCATGAAGGTACAAAATCAAAGCTTCACCTTGGAGATTGGAGATATTATGGGATGTGTTTCACACTTTTAATAACAATTGAATCTTATTCTCTTTTCTTTATGCTTGTTTTCTATTTTTCAGAACACCAAACCTTATCAGCTGCTAATGGATAAGTAAGTGTGTTCATAGGAAACCTTTTTTTTTTTTTACCACTTTAAAATTAAAATTAGAGGATTTCCAAATTATAATCTTGGGGAAGGTTTTTAACAATGCATGTAAATGTCTTTATTTTAATTAGAAAAAAAGCACTATTTCTCAAAGGAATGATACAGCCTGTAAAGTAGGGCTGCACTGCTTATTATAATTTTAGAGTTTTTAAAATATCACTGGATACAAGGCAAGGCAAGGCAAATTTATTTGTATAGCACAATTCAGAACAAAGACAATGCAAAGTGCTTCACATGATTAAAATATAGGAAAATAAAACGGAACCAAAGCAAATAGAAAAAAAATAAAATAAAAAATGTAGAAACAAAACATTAAAAACAGTTAGACTAAAGAAAATAAAAAAGTTGAACTAATGATGTTTCAGTTGAACTGTTTAACTAGAAAAGTTGAAGGCAATCCTAAACAAATGTGTTTTTAGTTTTTAATTAAAGGAACTCCGGCTTTCCGCACTTTTACAGTTTACAAGGTGAGTTTAGAACCGTTTGATCTGCAATAAATACCCAAAATACAGAATCATTATGAGGTTATGCTCTGTCAAAGCAGCAGAAAATTATTCAGGAGTGAAGAAGGTATTTATGTAAAGAAAACGCTCTGACCATCGGTCGGTTCAGCTTAGACCTGCCGTTTGGGAAACTGCTAATTTCTCCCCTGCTCTCAAAGTGGGCTCTCTGTCTGCTGATGAGGCGAAAGCGCATGTGTTCACCTGCTTCAAGCACTCAGGGCAAGTCTTATGACAGAGTCGGAAATGCGCACGGTTCAAGTTTTCACAGCGATTTACTTATTTATATGTGCAAATAAGCTAAATGCATTTAAAACCAAAGTTTCTGCAGCCGTTCCGCTCCTTAAAAGTCAGGAGATCGTCCTAATTTCATTGTCATTTTGACAAGTTTCAGTATATCCAGCGTTTGTGTTGAAATGTGCTGGACAGAGTCATGGAGGAGAGAGACAGATTTCAGTTAAAGGGTTGATAGGCCCATAAAGGAGCATAGTGGGCTGGATTTCAGCCTAGTGGGGACAACTGTGACTGTAGCGTCCCACTAAGCTGAAAGATGCTGGAGAGAACCAGCTACTTTCTATTTAGGGTTCTATATTTGCAGTGAACCCTAAGCAAAGCAATAAATGTTTCCTTTTACGGCTTCCCTAATGATGAAACGTAAAGTTCAGTCTGTTAAACTATATCGTTATTATATATCCTTGTCCCTCAGCTTTTTCGTTTCTTTTCTGTTTCATTTTGCTCTTTTTATTAAGCTTGGTTACAGGGTTTGGTTCTGGCATGATCTGAACCATCTTGGGTATGTAATGAGCCCAGACCCTGGTTGAACACTTTATTCTTGGCCTGACATTTGCTACATTAAATCTGGTTAATGATCATCACTGTGTTGTCTACTTGGTACTGCTGATGCTGGTCCGTAGGGGTAAAGGTGCAGGGTGTTAATAAATGACATAACGTTTATTCCTACAAAGTTAACCATTGACTTTTTTAATCCTTATAATGGAACAGTGTTGCATGATGATAATACATGCTGTGTCCCGACTAGGAATTTCTACAGCTTTAATAAAATGTGTTTACGTCGTGGTTTTTATTTAGGTCTTTTGTTCTTTTTTTTTAAAGGTTAAACTCCCATCTCAGTGGGGCCATCCCTCCACTCAGAGTCGGCCAGCTCAACTCTCATCATTTCCTATCCGACCTCTCAACCAGGGAGAAGAACCTGCGAAAAATGCTAGAAGGTAGGAAAGTGAAACTTCAAGTAATTAAGGAAGATGTTTCGGAAGCTGCTGTTGGTTAATTTGGTATGAAGTGGTTTGTTCCTTATGCTTTCTCCCACCCACCATCATATTTTCAGAACCATTCAATGAGACGTCCATTCTTGAGATTGTCCAGTCTCAAAGCAACCAGCTGGGAATGAGTTCAGGGCTGCAGAAGAGGAAATACAGCATGGCTTTCCTGGACAGTAACTCAGAAAACTCCTCATCTCAGGATAACACGCATTTAATCTATAGCAGCAAAAAGGCCTTTCTGACCGAGCAGGGCCACCGCTCCTCGTCTGTTTTTTCCTCAGAGGTCCTCCCTCAGACTCCCCATACCTCCGGGTTCCTTGACCCTGCTGCCCATCACATGGTGGGTCTGGGGTCTAGCTCTAGCCGCCACTCAGGAAACCTTTTCCCCTCCTCCCACTTCCCCAGTGGAGGAGCCTCGCAGCAACCCATGTATGAGAGCAGGAAGGTTTTGATGTGCACCCTGAATAACTGCTGCTGCTCCAGAGCCCCGGCTGCTCGCGCCCAGCCTCCGTACCCGCCCTCAGACACCTTCCCTTCTCAGGACTTCTCGTCGCATGCCCTGCTTCCTGCCAGTCAGCCCCTGCAGCATTATCCCGTCAGAGGCCTGATGGACACATCGCAGACGTCCAGACACCCGGATTTCTACGGCTTGTATGGCCAGTCTTCAACTAAGCATTATGGGACCAAATGAACTAGGATCAGTGTTTGTTCTGTTACTGCATCTAGGCCTTTAGGATGGGATTATAATATTTATTCGTCAACGCTTCTGGAAGCCGTTATAGCCCGTTTAACACAGTAACATAAGTAACTCCTAAACGCGTTTGCATTTTGTTTCATTTCCAGCTCCACTGGAAGTGCTGATGTGAATATTTTAGTCTTAAAATCCCTCCAAGCAGCAAATGAGGAAGTGACACATCCTTTATCACACGTTCTGCTGTGGAAATCCAGTGCCTAAAGAGAATGTTAACACCATTCTTACTCTGTTTGCAACTCCTGAGCTCTGACTGTTTCCCATTTGTGGCTGGAGGCGAGCAGGTAAACCTCTCCATGCAGATGGAATTTAGTGTCACTTGAGAAAAAAAAAAAAAATCCAAACACTGGACTCCAAAGGCTTGTCAGTTTTTCATGTATTTTTTATAGCAGAATATGAATAAACCAAAGTATGTGAAAGATGTCGAATAAATACGCAGATTGAAAACCTCGAAAAGGTGTATTCTGGTTTTTTTTTTTGTTGTTGTTTTTTTTTCATTATTTCTTTGCTATTTTAACATTGCATCCTGTTATAGTTAACAGTGGGGGGAAATGCAGATTTGAAAGGATCACTTTTTTTGTCACCCCTAAATGTTAAAATAGAAATTAAATAAATTTACATTCAGTCAAAGAGAAACTGAAACTGAAAGTATAATATCATTCCTTGATTTACAAAAAAAAAGAGAAACTTTCCAAGTTTCGACTTTCGAGTTAAAAAAAAAACCCATAAAATATCACAGGCCTCTCTTACCATGACTTTGGAACTGGAATCCATTAGAGGCTAAATATTTTGCTAGTCAACTCACATTAAACACATTTATCCCCAAACTTTTTGGAAAAAGTATTTCTGTGGTCCTGGCAACCTGTCCAGGATGTACCCCGCCTCTCGCCCATAGACAGCTGGAGATAGGCACCAGCAACCCCTCGTGATCCCGCATGGGACAAGCATGGCGTAAAATGGATGGACGGATTTCTGTGGAATGACAAGATAAAAAGTGGAAATTAAACGTGGTGTAAATGTACCACAGCATTTGAAAACATCAGTGAATTTCACAATGTTTCTAATGACAAGAAATTCACATCAGATAAACATAACTGAGGTAATCCACACATTAAAAGGAGCCAACTCAAACAGACCCATACAGTAAATAATGTGTAATAAAGTAGAATGAATGTTCCCATGAACAGTGTTTGGTTTTGAAGGTTAGAGCATCATGGTGTTGGGGTGTTTTTCAGCATGTGCTTCTTGCAGACCTCGGGATGATTGTAGAAATGCATGGAAATGTTCTGATTCCAATCTGAAGTGAAACGAGGGCAAATCTTTCAGCCGGATACTGATCCTGAACTGACACACGAGGAATATTTGAACCGGTTTTAAATAAAGAACGATAACCTGCAAGAATAACTGACTGGAAATCTATGGAAAGAACTGAAGCTTAGAGTTCATAGAAGACTCCCCCAGAACCTTCAGCAGATGAAGCTTGTCTGGTTCAAAATCATGTCTGTGCAGAGAGGAATGTTTCATGAAAGAGATGTGTTGAAGTGGGAGAGAGGCTCTTCTATAAAGCATGTTACAGGAGGTTTTTCTTAGATTAAAATGGAAGACTTTCCTTTAGAAGAAACAAAGAGCCAGAGCTGTGTTCCAGTCCTGCGTATGGAGAACACGGGGGAGGAGGTTTGAACAATGATTTGTTACAGTGTGGCCCTCAGCAGGCCCATTATCTGCCAATTTAGGACAGTTCACTTCCTCGTCAACATCCTGGTCTCTGGCAAAATCTCTATCATCCTTCTTTGTCTTATTACCAGAGCTGCTTGTCAGGTTAGGTCAGAGAACAGGAATAACTGATGAGCAGCACCTCCTCCTCCGCTCCTCTGCCAGGGTATGATTTGCAGGGGCTGGATAGTGGATGAAGAGAAGGAGGGTCTGGGTTTTAATGAGGTCTTGGATAGAATATCATCATCTTCTATTTATCTGTCACTCATATTTTACCGTGCACCTCCCCCACAGGGAGATAATAAGAGCGCGGGGGGGGGCAGAGTCAGGACTGAGAGGGAAAGGAAGAGAAAGGGCAGGCTTGTGAGTGAAGCTTATCACTTATTTATTGGCTGTAATATGTTCCCCATTTCTGATTTTATTAGCTCAATCTGATTGTTTTCTAGTTTTTTGTTCAATGTTTTTCTATATTTTTTCCATCTGCTAAAGTAACAAAGAAAGGAGGGGATTTATCAACAAAACTAGAGTCCGATCTGTGTTTGGAGCCCAAATAGCAATGCCTTTATTAACTGATCCTCTTTATCTGTGTGTCGCTGTTGAGCTGCTGGTCTAAAGAAGGCGGTTTTATATCCATAAATATGATCTAAAGAGCTGATGTCCTATAAATGTGACCATGTTTGAGCCAAGATGGACTACAGACAATACCTTCCATTAGTGCTTACCTCAACTTGGCAGTTTTTACAGTTATGTTTACAGTCAGGTGTGTGTTCAGGTGTAAGAACACGGTCACAATGTTTATTCTGTATTAAGGGTAAATAGGCCAAGCACCGCCAGCTGCACTCATTTGCTGCAGGTGTGTTTGAGCTGTTCTCTATGCAGGAGTACGACACGCCCTGGCCTGCAGCAGGACGCCCCGGCCTGCAGCAGGACGCCAGCCGCCGGTGGCTCTGTGCGGAGGTCTGTGCAGCTGTTCTTTATGCTTTCTGTCAGTTGGTCTGGATGTGATGGGGTTATAGTAGGTGCTGGTTTTCTTTTATTTCTTCGCCACATGCTCTTTTAAAAGCATGTGGCCAGTACCTCAGTGGGGCTTTGATTGGCCAATACTCGTCCATGGGCCCTGCTTGATTGGTTTAAGGATGTCATTTTTAATTTATGCATTATATTTTCACTTAGAAGTTGAAATTTATAAATTTGTAGTAGTAATATTTGGTAAATGGAAATAGTCTGACTTTAGATGTAAAACCTTTGACCAACAGCTGTCTCTGTATCCACCAGGAGCAATTTGTACAGACCAAGCTTGAACATAAAGAGAGTATTGGAAAGAGAAATGCCCTATATCTCTTCACATTGTGTTTACATATCTTGTAATTAATGTTTGAACACTCTTTTGTTAAAAGAAAAAGGTTTTCCTTGAACCCCAGTCAGCCTCTGCAGAAGGCCGCTCACAGTGAGCCTGGTTCTGGTTCTGCTGGAGGTCTCTTCCTGTTAAAAGGGAGTTTTCCTCTCCACTGTCACTACATGCATGTGTGGTGTGAGGGATTGCTGAAGAGTCGACAACAAAATTCAGCGAAAATTGTCACTGCAAGCTCCTTCTGGAGGAGCAAATTAATGCCTGGAGACAAGTAACTGGTTTTCCTTGACAGAAAAGTTTAACCAGTATGATAGTATTGTTTCTGTAAAGTGCCTTTAGACGACATGTGTTGTTAATTTGCGCTATATAAATAAACTGAATGGGATTAAAGCGCCTCATATTATAAGCATAGCTGTAGACACAGCTATAAATGAAACGAACTGGATTTATAACCAGTTCTTGAAAGTCCATATAACCCATAATAACCGTATTCTCCTTTCATTTGGATTTTCTTTCATTGTCCTGCCCCCCCTGCTCTAAAGACCTGTATCCGACTGGCCTGTAAATGATCTTCTCACCGTAGAATCATGGATTCAGTGTTTGGAAATGGCCTCATTCTTGTTTGCAGATGATAGACGGCAGCTGTCTCCTCTCTAAGACCAGTGCTGATGCATCATCTATGTTCTTTTTTTTTTTTTATGGACAGGCTTGTCAGATCTGTGAGCCCTTCCCCCATTGGTTCTTAGTTTGAATGCTTCAAACTGACTTCTCCAAAGGCAGGAGGTTAGAACAGAGGACCTTAAGCTAGCTCTGTGTGATTTGGTCCGATTTGAAACACCCAAAGATCCCTTTCTCTCTATGCTCCAACATTGTGTCCTACAGAAAATGTGTCACAAACTGGTTGGTTATTTAGTTCTAATCCAATATATAAAGTACATAAATGCAATTCGATTAAAGTTGGGATTTTTCTAAGATCAGCCCACTACAAAAAGAAGATTTTATTATTAGGCCTTTTACACATATTTAGTTCAGCCAGGAAAATTGTCAACATCTCAACAATGATAGGAAGAGAAGTTTAAGTTTATATAGAAACTTAAATACAGTAATTTGTTAAATGAGGCAGTCAGGACCGAAAAAAAAATTGAAAATTCTTGGTTCCAAGTAGCCAATTTCTTTATATTGTCTTCAAACAAGCAGGGCTCTGTAGCAAGGAGCACATTGTGGCAGTTTACTCATCTAATGAGGCGTGGTGAAGAATGAAGGAAAGGGGGAGTGTAGATAAATATGAAGGCCTCCTGATTTGGCACTTTTGGGAAAACTTTGTGATTAATAGCAGAAAAACAAAAAGATAGGGAGGATGGATTGTTAGTGAGAAAAATAAAGAGGGGGAGGAGGATGAGTTAAAGAAGGGAAAGGAGAATGATGAGTAAGAGAGGGGGGGCTGAGAGGTTCAGATAATGAGACAAACAGTTATGGATGGATGGATGGATGGATGGATGGATGGATGGATGGATGGATGGATGGATGGATGGATGGATGGATGGATGGATGGATCCTTTAAAGCTTCAGACATGTTCTACTTTCCCCTCTCTTTGCTCTGAAAGCTGAAAGGTACGGCGGACTGTGCAGCATTATGTACACAGCTGTGCTGCCTTCGCTGTCATGTGTAAACCCCATTCTCAACTGTCAATACATACAAAAAAGAGAAAGCACCATTTATATTACAACCAAAGAGGTTCACTGTATTTTAAAGGGTCTTAAAAGCTAGAGTAGATGGCAGTTATGACATGAAGAAAAAAGATACATAGATTAAAAAACAATGCAAAAAAAACTTTTAACATCTTAAGAGTGTGCAGTGTCTTTGTTTGGAACTGTGCTGAGTCAGAATGGATGAAAACTGTCTTCAATTTTCAGGCCTTGCACACAGATTAATTATGGTTTCAATGGATTCCAGGATGATGAAGAAAGAAGACGCTTCAGACTCCTGCAAACCACAGCTGCACATCTTTTTAAACTAGAGCTCCAAACTGTTAGCTGTTACCATGGTAGCTTTAGGATGCACTGCAGTGACACACTGAAGTGTTGAAAGCAGAAGCTTAAAAGTACTTCTTTACACCAGTTGCAGTTGTGCATATGATTTCTTCTTTGTTTGCTGTTCATAAATAGCATTTGCATGGTGGGGTGATTTTAGGGGTAAAGTAAGAAACTTACAGAATGTTAAAACTAAAAATGTAAGAACAAACAAACAAATGCACAAAACAGCCAGAGAGTTTAAGTAGTTTTTTGTGATATGGAAACTCTGCTCTCTGTACATCAGGATGGACTTTTTGTCTCAGTATCTTAACCTTGTATTAGAAAAAAAAAATCCTTCAATATTCATTCCACTTATATGGTGATTAGTATAAAAACAAGAAAAAGGCGAGCCATATTTCATTTAGGAAATTAAAAAGAAACTCCTGAAGTGATGTTTTCATTTCTGTGTTATCACTGATGAGCCTTGCAGGACCTTTAAGTCTTTAGACATGCAGACCTCAATGGTTAACAGAAAGAATTAAAAATATTGAGGATCCAGAATGCCTTCCCTGATCATCTCTATCAACCAAGCAAACCCCTGCCTTGTACACTGAAAAGGAAAAGGAATTTTTGTTAGAAAGGTTTTATTGAAAATCATATTCGTTTTGTTGTATCTTTTAAAGCAAAAGTGTTATTTTAAAAAAAGATATCCTCATCATCATGGATGATATTACCTTCTTTGGCTCATTTGCAATAGATTTCCCACCACAGTTTGCCAGATTAAGCAGCAGAGAAGGATCTTTTCCTGCTGTTTTATTCATTATCTGTGTCACAGAACCAAAGCACTGCAAAGAAAGAAATCTAACCTCCACATCAAGCTGAGGACACAGCATTGGACCATAAAATCCTTATACCGAATAAAATTGGAGCGAATGCTCCCAAAACACTCCCTCAGCCTGCTGTGAACCGACCGGATGTGGTTTATGAGTCAGAAAATAAGGAGCAGCAGCACCTGCTCTGGGTGAAGGTGACATTAACTAGAAGACTGTAATACATTGATATCCTACCTGTCACATGACTTTGGTGTCCTGTGATTGGCTCAAAGGATTGTTAGCAGAGGGATGTCATTAAAGGCATCACCCTCCATGACTGTCAGGATGGACATTGGCAGTTCTAGACCAAATTTACCAGGGGGAGGCGGGGGAGTGTGGTTAATTATGGGGATGAGAGAAAAAACAAGCCAATAAACTGCAAAATATTGAACTCTAAGTGAGTTTCTTTAAATAACTGGATTTATACTTGAATTAAGCAGGTAAGTGAGATACTTTTCCAATTAAATAAGAACGCTTACATTCAAAAAAGAAAGAAAAAACTGCAGTATCTTATTTGAAGTGCGTAATATCTAATTATTATAAGGGTTAAAAATACTAATTCCATTGCCAGATCACCTTATTTATGTCCTTAAATTATGGGTAATACACTTATTTTATGAAACGTCTACTAATTTTTAGGTTTTTTTTTTTTCTTCTGTCTTTTTCATCCTTTAAAGTATTAAGGGAACCAAATAGCAATGTGTTGCCCTAGAAACCTCAGATAAAGTAAATGAAAACTGTGATTATATCTCAATATGCCTGAATCTAAAACTGCAACAGTGCATATAATCACAGGGACTTGGACCACTTCTACAGGGACACTGGCCCCGGTCTAGAACTGCCAATAGATATTCACACTGTTGCATTCTGGTCCTCAATACCTTCAGTTAAACTATGCTTGTTTAAGCTCCTTGAAAGTATCATGAAAAAAGTCCAAAGTTTGCTCCATCAACCTCCTACTGCTGCAGCAATTCCTGTTTTCTGTGCACCTCTATGAAGCACATGTTTCTGCCACTCAACCTTTCATTAATATGCTTTGCTAGTATCCTCTGAAGCTGCTCTGGTAAAACTTCTTGTGGCTTATCCTCCTCATGGTGGGGGTCACAGTCTGCAGGACAACTCTCAAGTCAAAATGCATCATTCAGTAACTGATTATTACAAATCATGTGTTAAGGAGTATATAAAAAAAACTGGCTGTGTAAAAAAAGAGACAGTTCTCAGTATTTCTATGAAGACCTTCCAAACTAACCAGAACAGCTGCAGCTTATATCTGCAGTTGAGCACAGATTAGCTTCCAACAGGCCATGTCAAGGTTGTTTTCTGCCACTGAGAAGAGTGTGTGTCAATGTTTCGCTCTAGCTGGATATAACCGCATCTGCCTTCATAAAGCTTGAACAGATGTTGCTTCAGAGCTACTTATTGTTGTCGGTGGTTTACAGTCAGCGTAATTTAGAGTATGTTCCCGTGTTTAGTTTCCTTTGTCTCTCTGCTATATTTTGGTTACTTTTCAGGGATTTAATTAAAGTTTGTTTCTACATATGTGAAAGCACAGTTATCTTCTTGTTGGATGGGCCAAATGGGTACATAGGTATGTGTTTATAAAAAGGAAATTCACATTAATCTTCAATAGAATCAGCTACAAGGACAAGATAAAACAATTTAATGATATAGCAAATCATAAAAAGCCCTGCTTAAAGGTTGGTTTGTGGTGTTTTCTTATGCAATGTAAAATTTTGCACAAAGCAAAGTGAAGGAAATTTAATATTAGTGGTAGTACATTATTTAAAAAATAAAAAGAGAAAAAAACTAGTTGGTGAGGGGTGTTTGTCTGTGTGGGGGAGTCTGCTGAACCTGACCAGCGTTGGTTGGGTTTTCCGGACATGCAGTCATTTGCTTTCCCTTGAAAAAACTAACCCTCTAAACCTGGTCAGAACTTCATCCTACTGCAAACCATTTTTTCCCTCAATGTTCTTCATGTCTTCTTAGCCTCAAAAGGAGGAATTAAATGAAAAGATAAACTTAATAAAGCAAAGAAAATGTATACTGTAAATCTGTGTGAATACGGATTGTTGCCTTGTTTAAATTCTATAGGAAAGGTTGCCAGATATTAACAGTCTTCAAAGAACCCCCAATGATATTGGTTTAGCTTAATGTTGCTTATTTAGCACAACTGGGTAAATATTGACCAAATAAGAACTTGGATGCAGTGGCAGTTCTAGACCAACAAGGCAATAGTTCCATATTTGATATTTTAACTCTGACACAAAGAACCACTTGCAAATCTGAATTCCCCAGATATAGTCGATAAAAAGTTAAGTTTATTCGTCACAATTTAATTTTTGTGATCAGTTGATATTTAGATGTAAAACTGATTGCAACCCCTCGGATGTCGGTGCTCTAAACTTTTTTATATCCTGAACCACCATTTTGTAGTTAGTGATTTTTTTTAACTGCCCCACAAGTGCTTTATTTTCAATAAAATGAGATTGAAACATTTCGGGTGTTTTAATATTAGTGTTATAAAATATCGCTGTTTAAATCTTGAAGGCAACTTTGCAATGTTTATTGGTGGAACCCTAAAACTGATCTCATCTCAATGACACTGAAGCTAAAAAAGCAACACCTTCATTTTAAAATCTTAGTAAAAATAAAAGAAAAAAAAATAGATCCAAGTGACCAATCAGCTACGGTTTCTTTGACAGTGCATATATTTAATAATATGATTTCAGTATAGAGGCCAGGACCCGTTCTATAGACGCCCTAATAACAGAATTGATACTTTCAGAACCAACGTGTATTTAAGCTTTTCAAAGAAACATATTAACACTGCTGAGCAACATGTTCAACAAAAATCAAGCTACAAACTGGAGATAGTCAACAAGCATTTATTAAACTGCATACAAACCAACTGTTTTATTCAGGTTGAATCAGAACGCGTTTTCCTCCATGAACAGGACAAAGACAATCTTCTAAACTCTTAGATTTAGCGTCTACTGGTGGTAGACGTGTTTTTGTCACCAGTGACGCCGCAGTAAAATCCTTACAGTGGAAATGTTAATATATACAGTAAAAAATGTGGAAATATGTTCATATCAAAAACACTTATACAAATAATTGTCTTCTCCATTGTGATGAGGTGAAAATAGAGGGTTGGGGAGCGGCTTCTTTGGTGGCGTGTTTTGATCTGCCGCATTCACATAGTGTGAAAGAGGTGGAAAAGATGTCCATCAGGTAGAAAAAAACTTTTGTCAGGGGTCCTCACAGTCTACTAATTCTTCTTCTTCTTTGCTGGTTTGACAGCTGGCAGCTCTTCTTCCTCATCTTCCACCTCATCATCATCATCTTCTTCTTGTTCCTCCTCCTCAGACATTTCAAAATACTGTGAGGCTGAGAGAGGAGCAAAGTTAATAACATGCTAACCTGTGTCTTATATGAAGTTTTGTGCAAGATATGCCCAAAATTAAGCATAATTTTAAAGTAGAAGTTTTTTTTTATCTTTTACAAATAAAATTAAAATTCAGTTTATTATATAGAGCCAATTCACAACACATGTCATCTCAAGGCACTTTATAGTTCACCAGATCATACAGTCAGATTGATTCAAAGTTTTCTATCTAAGGAAAACCAGTTGATTGCATCGACTCGTTGACTCCAATGCAATCCCTCACACTAAACATGCTTGTAGCGACAGTGGAGAGGAAAAACTCCCTTTTAACAGGAAGAAACCTCCAGCAGAACCATCCTCAGTGTGAGCGGCCATCTGCCGAGGCCGACTGGGGTTGAAGGAGACAGAAGCAGAGATAAAAAGCAGCTGTAAGCGTGAAAAGCATGAACATACCAATAAGGTGGAGGCCACTAACAGAAACTGGTCCCGTTCCAGCTTTAAGGCGTAGAGTAACTGGGGCTTTCAGCTCAAACTCTCCCAGGTTCACCTAAAGAAATAATCAAAAAGTTTTAAACTTTAGGTCAACTTTGTCTCCATGTCTTTAGGAAGCCATTCACTGTGAGGTTTACACACCATAGGCAGACACTTGAGGTGGAGGTTGGCTATGGGGACTGAGATTGTTTTTCCCAGGTGGTTCATGGCGGTTACCTCCACCACGTTGCTCTCCTCCTTGGCTCCCTCACCAAGGCAAACCTTAGAAATAAGAGTAATTAATGTCAGCGCTGATCCACATAAAATAAGTTGCCGGTTAGTAAAGTTGAAAAATCGAAACCGCACAGTTGGACAAACTAAACATGTGGGTAAAATGCCAAAAAAAAAAAACCTGAATGTACAGTTCTAAGCTCTAGGAAGTGCTCCATGTCCTCGTCCTCCTCATCCGCATCTCCTTGAAAAGTGTAGAAAAGTACTTTAGAGGACAGCTCGCAGCCTGCGAAAAGAATAAAACCATTATATTAATGAGGGGAAACACAAGAATGAAAATGACTATCACAGGTCCCAGAGACCCACGTGCGCGTTTTCAGAGCAGCTTTAGAAACTGATTGAGCTATTCTTACTGAACAAGAAGCTTTCCAACTTTGACGCTCCGGTACGGGAGCCCTCCGAAGATTCACCCTCAACGAAAGACATTTTGTAGAAACGTTAAAAGTTGTCTAGACTCTGAGGTTTTTGGAACGAACTAGCGCTCAGCAGGATGGAGAGCGGCGCGGAGTAGTGACGAAAGAGCGACGTCATATTTAGGCGACCGTTATTTTGGTGCTCTTGGCGAATCACCGTCGAGGGAAAAAAAAAAAAAAAATTATTATATGTATCCTGCGACTTAAATCTTAGTAAAATGTGGCTCTTTATTTTGTTTGTATAATGTTTTCTAGTATAAAACAATCGCAACTGAACATGTCCTTTTGTCACAATATAAAGAAAAAAAGATTTTATTTTAAAATCGTTTTCTGCGAATGATTGCTGGGTTAAAAACAGCTTTTTATGGCCAAACGCTATTTTAAAAACTACTAAGAAAAATCTCGAGGATATATTAACAATTACAGGTAACTATCAGGTAATGGGTACTTTTTAATTAATTGGAATGAAGTAGTCTTATTTTTGTAGAAGTTATTAAATAATTTAAGGAAACTGGTGCCAAAAATATATTTATTACAATTCAGAAAAAATTAGCCCCCAAAAATGAATGACACAAATTAATAAAAATACAACCCATAACTTAACAAATGTAGTCTATACTCGAGATAAACAGCACCATAAAAATTATGTTTTATATATATATATATATATATATATAATTCTCATAATGAAGAGATAACCCAATAAAGTTCTTAAAGTAATTCATTTAAAAGAATTGGTTGAAAGGCTTTAATCACAATTTATAATAAATCATAAATTACAAAAAAAGTATACTATTCTTAATAAAAAAAAACTTTCAATCACCAGTCTAAGCTTTGAGAAGAAAACAGTGATATCTTTGAAAGTTAAAATCATATTAACAAAAATGAAATATCTGAAGTCGCTAATACTCTTAAACATTAACAAATTGGTACTAAAGTATAGACTAACTGAACCACACATAAACATGACAAATATTACTAAAAATATCTAGGAACATAAAACCAAGTATCTGTGATTACAGCTAGGATATCTAGAGGAGAGGCAAATAAAAAAAAAATTAAATATAGTGAACAAGACAAGAGTCGTAATTTTAGACGATTTATTACTTTAATGTTACTTATCTTACATAGAAATATTACAGAAATAAACTGCCACATTAATGACCCCCGCCCCCCCCAATCCCCAAAGATAAACTGTACAGTCTAGGGGATTTCTCCGAGTAATTAAGTCAAATGTAGTCGACAGAAAGCAAAAAAAAATAAAAAATTACAAGCATCAAACAGTAAAACCTCCTGTTGGAAGAGGTAAGCCACTAAAACACCAACTTCATTTGCTGAAGAGCAGGTCCGTTGGAGTTTCCTTCCTTGTTAGCAAGTGGGACGGATCTGTCCAACAAGGGATTAACATTGTTTTCCTTCAACTAAAAACAGAATGCAAGTCATTTTCAAAAATAACATACAAAACAATTTAATACTTCATGAATGACAATATATACAAACAATCTGAGCACAACACTTTTATGCTTGTTTTTCAAAGTGGCATGCTTCATCCTATATGAAACAGAGGAGACTTTTACCAATGTCAGCCACAGCAAATCCAACACACCTCATGCACATCATGAATGTACAGTTTGGAAACATCAGTACAGTTTGGAAACAGGAAGCTACTGGAGAGCAGCTGCTGTAGCAAAAGTGCTTAAACTAAAAAGAAAACTTTTGTTTTTCCAGGAACAAATGGAAATGAGTCAGAAAAGCAAACATTTAACTTGAAAAAAAACAAAAAACAAAAAAAACAATGATCTAGCTCAAGAGCTTTAAAGCTGTAACTGAACATAGAACCATGATCAGGATTCAAAGAAGAGGCTCACCTGATACTACATTCATTAGAATAAAAGGATTTAAAACTGATGATTTAATTTAAGTACTGATCGAAGAACTATAAATACAGAAAAAAAGGTTTGACTACCAGTGTTCCTGATTAAAAAACATTGTTTCTGGTCCCAATGATTTATTTGAGCTTTCTTTAATAAAGAGGGCATAAAGTCAACATTTCAATTTAACCAGAGAAAATAAAACGAGGACTGATGCATATCATTTTGTAAATGTGAAAACCAACGGAACATAAAACCAAAACAGACCCAGCAGATGCTGTAAAATGAACAATCAGTTGTAAAGATCAAAAAGGCAACAGCTGGATGGGAATGAAGCACAGAAATGAATAAAGATTAAAAAAAGAAGCAAACTGTTAACATGTAGATGCTTTTCTATTGCTTAGCAAATGTTTGCAGCTACTTTAACGGAAATCAAGAGGAACCTTTGGCTAACTTTTATCAACACTTTCTTTGACATTCAGGCCTTTCCTCCCCCAGTGTGCTGCGAAGCACTCCAACCTTCTATTAGCACCTCTTTCCTTCTTATTTGATGTCCAGAAACTAAAATGAAAAGAGGAAAGCCAAATTTAGGAGCCACCTTCTTTTCATTGTTGCTACCGTTTCAGATTCCTCCCCCCCTTTTTAGTAGGATGAATGAATGGATGTAGTAACAAGTCATGGGGTCCTAAAAATCAATGCTGGGGGGCCACGCTTTATGTTGAACCTTTATCTGTTAAATCCAACTGAGCCACAACCTATAACGATGGTATGATTTTCCTGTGCTCATTTAGAAAAATCCCCCCCTCCCTCCAAAAAACAGAACGGCCTGGGCTGAGCCCAATTTTAATGGAGGTCAAAAAAACAAAAAGAAGAAAACAAAGAAGGATCTCCACACGATGAGGTACCAAAAAATGCTTAAGGTGTGTCGACTGGCTCTCGCTCTGCCCGTCGCCGTGACAGTGCGCTTCTTCAAAGGCTGCGTCCCATAATGATGATGTCTTTGGGGAAGCCGTCCATTTTGGCCACTTCAAAACATCCCAGCTTACTGTAGAATTCCATCATTCGTTTATCAGTCTGACGAACTTTACAAAAAGCACCATGAGAACCTGAAAGTGAGAAAAAAAGCGATAAACTGTAATCATGAGACAACATACATTCCGAAATATTTATAGAAATGTATACTTTTCTTTCAGACCAACATTAAGAATAACTGAATAATTTATGTGACAGCTGCAGAGTTCTACTCACCATTAGCCTTAAGAGAAGATAACAGACATCCCATCATGCTTTTGGCCACACTGGGGTCAGTGACTTTGGCGTGAATGTCTACTTTAATGAGGGATGGAAAATTGGACAGGAAAGAGTCTGGTAGACCCTCCTCCTCCTCATGAAAACTCAGGATCATCTTCTGCAGAAATAAACAGCAGATCATGGATTGAAGTCACCAACAGGAGAGAGAAGCCTTCATGTTTATACAGACGCTGTACGTCTGTAGATGTTCATACCTCAGCCTCGGAGAGATCCTTCTCACAGTCAGGTTTGTGGTATTTCTCTTGCATGAAGGGAATCCAGCTCAACTTGCATTTCTTGATGAAGGGCTTCACGTCTACAGTGCCAAGAGCATAACCGCAGATCCCCTCATCATCCTCCAGCACGAAACCGTAATCTGAACTCACCGTCAGGAGCCCTCCGACTAACCTGTAATCAGGGATCAGGTCAGCATTAAATATTCAGTTTTAATCAAATCCAGTTGACTATAAATTCACGCAGGCTGTACCTGTCCCCTATCAGGTCGGATTCCTCCTCGGCAAACGGCTCATCTTCCATTCCTTCACAGTACATTTCCTTACAGATTTTATAAACTGCAGCCTGCAACCAAAGGAGACGTCCACAAAATTAAAAGTAAGCAGCGGGACAACCTGAGCTTCAGTGGAGTGACGGCAACATATTTAACAAAGGGATAAAATCAAACTGTCAGATGATGAATATACATCAGCATTCACAGCTCACATCCAAATACATAGAAACATTGCTCACTTTTGGGACTCAACTTTCACCATAAAGGTCTACATTGGATGGATAGATAGGAGGTGTAAAGGAAGGAAGGTAGTTAAGACTATAAAAAGGGAGGGAAGGACACAAAGATAGGAGGAAGCAGGAAAACACGGACATAAAGATAGAAAGGGGGGGGGTTAGTAGAAAGAAAGAGTAGGAAGGACAAGAGGATAATATAATTTTGACAATGGCATAAAGAATAAGGGATGAAATCTGAAACACTTTTTACAATTCTCGTTTGTAAAGAACTAAAACCAGGCAGAGTAGAAACTCATAAATATTCAGATTTCAGCAGGATTTATAGAAATGTGGAGCTTTCTTCACACAAAGTGACATTACCTCATCTTTGGGGTAGTACGGCCGTATGGTATAGATTTTGGACGTTGGCAAAGAAGGTGGGGGCTGGTAGAAAAGATCGTTTGCCCCATCTATTGGCAACAATCTCTGTGGGTTTTAAAAACAAAGAGGTTCAGTTTTACAGAGAACAGGCAGGCGGAGGCTTTGCCTGACTACATTTGCTAAGATGTTCCACAGTCAACCCAGCATGAACCATGAAAAGACAAATCAAGTGCCTTGAGAGTCAGGATTAATCAATTAACGGGAGTTCACTGTTGGCCTGACAGTGGACAACCAGAGCAAACACCACATCCTTCTAATTTCTGCCTTGGAGCAGAGAACAACAAGTTTTTGCAAACAGAATGCAATGAGGGTTTATTTTTGGTCTGACTAAGGCTTTACTGACAGAAGGAGATGCTCCTTTCCCTTTGGTCAGGCATCGCAATATTACGCATGCGCAGGACCCTCCTGTTGAGAAAAATAATGATGCTAGCGCAGAAATATGGAGAACTCCAGGAAAAAAACCACCAGCGGAGGGGAGATAGAATCGAAACCCAAATGCTCAGCAGCGCACCAACCAGGTGGACGCAGTGTTTTAGGGAGGAGACTGGTTTGTTTAATCTTGGAGTTCTACCTTTGCACAAACGCTTGCGTTCTCGCTTGCGCTGCGATGCTTGCGCGTGCGCTCCCAAAACTCTTTGCCTGGGTTCTTTTTTTTTTCTAGTTTATTTTGCTCTTTTTTTGCGCAGTGCTTCCCTGCAAAGAAACGAGATGTCATGAAAAATAAAACCTAAGCCGTGCTCGCTTGCGCCGCTTGCGCCAGGGAAAAAACAGCATCTCCTTTGGCAGCTGCTGCAAGAAACTAGAAGACATCAAAACAATACAAGAAATGCCGCGCCAAAATCCGGCATAGGCTCTTCTTTCAAAGGGGCGATTGAAATTCCACCCATAGAGTCTGACAGTACTCCAAAGTTAACCTGGATGTTATGAATTTGGATCATTCCCATCAGCTCACCTTCGACAGACCAAACCTCATCATACCTGAACACATTTACCATAGCCTTCCACAGCACTTTTTCGTTTCCATTTAATTGCCATTATTTCGGTGCATTAGATACCTGGAACTCTCCAGCTAGACCTCCCCTAAAGGCCCAGGACTCTTGTTCTCCTTTAGGGAATTGTGCTGAGGACTGACTACGACACCCTGTTAGGAGCAGAGCCAAGCGGACATTGTTACCACAGGATGGGGCTCTGATACAGATGAAGGGAGCGGGGTATGAAGGGGCAATAGAAATGTAAATGATTTCTAATCATTAAAAACATTAACTGAAGTAAATTGCTTCGACTTAAAAGTACTTAAAAGGACGTGATGGGGTTCAGGCATCTAAATCTCATGTTTGTGGAATGGTGTGCTACTCAAATGCAGGGCTTTCTTTCTGGCTACATCAGCTGTTAAACAAAATGAGGACAGCTTTAAAACACAACCTGCAGATGAGCTACTTATTTTCTGCAGAAAGATAAGAAAACGGTCCTACTCCTCCGCTGATGGTAAAACACTGAGTGACGGGGAGACTTCCTCCTCTCTACAGATCACAACAGAAAGTTTTAGCTGCCATCGCCCCACTGATCTTAGCACCCCGTGTGAAGTCACATTCTCATTTTATCTGTCTTGTCACATGACGGGGAAGCATGAGTCATAAAAAAACCAGGAAGATCGAACGAGAGGAAGTCGGCACAGTCCCAGAGTTAAAGGGCCTCTCAGTCAAAACAGAGAAAAAAAAAAAACATGTATCTAAACTGCCTGAACATAACGGCAATGGCTGTCTGAACCTGGATGACAAGAAGCCCTGTCATGTGACCAGCCAAATGCAGCGCGCGTGCGTGCAGGACGCCTAACCCTGCCTTGCACATCAAAACAACCTCCTGAGAAGAGCTGACAGCACAGCATGCAGATGCATCCACATGAAGGAACCTTGAACTCAGCATGGATGGATTACTTCAAAAACAGCATCTCTGTGGATTTACCTCCACAAGAATCATGTTTCTTCTTTTTATCCGTTTATTTGAGCTTCCTTTCTCCAATTAGAAAGGAGAAATTCATTTGATGCTTTTCATTTTTTAAAACCAAATAAAACACAGGTTCCTCTGAGCAGGTGCATCAGGCTGGTCTGAACAGCTTTGGTATTTTTTAGGCCTACTGACAGAAACAAAAAGACAAGTTAGGAAGATGCCGCTAAAGAGAGAAATTTTTGGAGTTAACTGGAATTCAAGTTTAAACATCGCTGCGCAAGATGTGACTTCATCCGGAGGGTTGTTTCCTTTCCTCCAATTCAATCTTTTTATACAAATTTGGTTTGAGAAAAAAAAAAAAAAAAAATTACTCAGATCAAATTCAAAGATGAACAAAGGAAAGAGACAACGCCTGCATTGTGCATACATCGGCCACTGTCCATCCAATAGCAGTAGAAACTTGTACTGTGGATTCTTCCATCTGTACGTAGTGGAGGGAGAAAACAGTAGAAAATGGTTATTAGTAGGTGTTCTTAGTACAACAAGTAGGGAGTTTGTGACTAAGTGCCGGCTGCAAAGCTTCAATCAGGAGAATTCATATCAACCAATGAGACAATAATAAAAATTTAAAAAAAAAGCTGCGCAATATATATAAATGATTTACTCATAGAATTCTTTCTTCAATGTTTAAAGGTGAAATGAGCCTTTTTCCTGTGCAGGTTTTGCTGCCTGCTGTGTTCAACTGTTGGCTGAGATCTCAGCTTTATGCTGTAGAAGAACAGGGTAGAAACCTGGAAATGAAACTGGGTTACAGGGAGTAACCTGCAGGCCATGCTGCTGCTTCAGGATAATCAATGCAAACCTCCAAAACAATGAGACATCATCCAGCAATGAATTCAACTCAAACTATATCAAGTGTTTAACCTCACAAATGTGAGTAAAACCCCCAAAAACCCTCCTTTTTGACAAGTAGTATGGGTCAGTAATGCTCCAGCTAACGGCGCATCAACTTGTCAACAATGTTCGTATAATTAAGTACTGCTCTACTAATTCTAGCATTCTATATTTTCTGTAGTTTAATGCACCAAAGAGCAGCAAATGTGTCAAAAACAACGTTAACCATAAAGATAAAGAGTAATTATAGCTTTTATTTATACATGTAAATAATAAAAAGTGATGTTATACATTCTTGGTAATCATCATCCAACTACTTTCATAGAGGTAAATTAACAATACACTGGGGAGTTTCAGCCAAAACACTTTTGACATGTTTGAGTTTTCTTTTTTCTTTTTTTTTGTATTATTATAGTTTCTATGCACCAGAATGGCCTTCATTAATCAGTCAGTCAACTTGCTCTCCACATTCGCGTGCGCGTTAGGGCATGGAGGACGGGGGATAGGAGACTTTCCCCACACCCGTCCCCACAGACAGAAATGGAGGAAACTGATGGAAATAACGTAGGACACACAGCAAGCAGCAGTAACCCCGGAGTGGCATTGTCTGTACTGGACATCATAACTCTGGAACTTATTGTTGGATAAACAGAGAGGATGTTAGCAGTGCAAGCGGCATTCAGTCTGACGCAAATATATAAATAATTACAGAAAACAATTTGCATGTGTTAAAAAGTAGATTTTTTTTTTTTTTTTTAATTCTGCTTCATTTGTTCAAAACTGATCTATACTAGCTTATTTATTATTGGTAGGAAAACTACAGATTCAAGGTCTAATTTGGAGAAAAGAAAAAACTATATTTAATTATAAATAGATAAAAATATCTTCTAATTATGTTAAATTTGAAAAATAACGGAATAATCCTTAAGTTATTAAATCTATGCACCTGATCAATCACTAATTTCAGTGTCAGCTAAAGTTTTTTTTGTATTATTTTGGTATTTTTCACCAAGGCAAAGAGGCCCCAAAGTTCCTCAATACATACCGAGCCAAAGAACAAAAGACTTGACCATAGACATGATGCTCTTGATGTCCCAGATGTAAGGGTAGAGGTCAAACAGGATGGTGCGGTTGGCTGTGTTAGACAGCCGTGTGAACATGTGGATGACGGAGCAGCACATGTCTTGAAACTTCTCCGCCCGAAGCCGCCATTCTTCCACCTGAGTGCAAGAGATGCAGAGAGATCTTAGTAATTGGATCTGATCTGATCAGGAATCAGACCTGCTTTTCTAGTGATGTTACTTTATCTTTATACAAACTAACTCGGCCGGACTGAAATTTAATCTAAATAAAAATCAGTGTTTAAACCATAAAGATGTCTTGTTTGATTTGCACACAGTAATGATGTAGTTCTGGGTTAAACGCTGTAAATCTTTTAAAGGTTTTATGTGACACCGTTCTCCTGTTTACTCCTGTTCTTTTCCACTGTAGTCTGCCAAGATGCCATTACAGAAGAAAACAAATTACAGATGATGCAATATAAGGGAGCTGTTGTATAAACAAATAAGCATGACTCCACACTGTTACAACAGGCAATTTATAATCATACATACGCCCCCCGATGGACACTGAGGGTAGTGTACATCCACCATTTTGTTTTCAGCTCCATTACCAGCAGGTTTAGCCAATAATGGACTGGGGCTTTCTCACAGATATCCCTCTGTTCAGAAAAAAAGCCCAATTCAGAGAAGCAACGCACCTTTTCATTTTCCTTCCTTTTACAGTTGACGCTAACGACGCTGCTGTTGGCTCTTAACCAGTTGAACTCCTTTAACATCTGCGTGGCCTTGGGTCCATGTTCGTAAGGCAGATAAAAGAGTTCAGCAAGCAGACACAGGTCCTCCAGTGTGGGAGCCTCTGGCGTGAACAGAGGCTTCTCATTGGGGCCCGGCACGTACAGATCCTGGTGGCACAGAGACCACATCTGGACATAAGAGGTTCATTCTATGAGGATTTTAACCTAAAACACAAATATAAACAATCATAGTACCTGTTTAAGCTGATCGTCTGTCTGCATCGGAGCAATATCACTCGCAGAGTCCTCCTGGATTAACTCTTCAGAGGACTTGGACTCCGTCAGACTCTCCTTGTCTGTATCCATAGGTTTTAGGTCCTCTGCCATTTTGTCAGCCAAGATGGGAGCGACGTCTTTTTCTTCCGGATCCACCTCTGCTTCCGGCTCATCCACCTTCTCCACCACCATCTCCATCGGCTCCTCATCTGAATCTTTCTTTTCTGTGTCCACCTGCGTACGCCAAGAAAGGGAACATTTTACTCCCTGAGATAAGATGAGCGCAGTTTAACTAAGACTGATGAATGGGAGGAAATTCATGTGATTATATTCAGTATTTAGAAGAAGAACAGCTGTTAGAACAAACTAAGTAAATAGACTCACCTCCTCAGATTTAGCCAAAGGATGCTGGAGGGGATCCAGAAGGAGAGGGGGCATCGCAGGAGACATTATAGGCTGCTGGAACACGGTTGTGACTGACGTGGAGGAGCAAAGGGAAGGGGCCGCCATGGAAGTTACGTCGATGGCCGTGCTTTTGGCACCACTCTGAGGCACCTGTCGGCCTACAAGAGCTCAGGGTTAATTCAAAGAATGTTTGATTTAAAAAAGAATAATAATGAAATGTTTGAAACCATTTTGGGGATCAGTCTTACTGTTATATAGGTGAGGCACGCTAAATTCTGTCAACCATTCAGTCAGAGCCAGCCTTAGTGCAAGCTGTGGACTGTAGAGCATGTCTGTCTCCAGCTCCTCATCGCTGCCTTCATTCTCCAGCTTGATCTGGATGGACACAGTGCTGTCCTCACCATCAGCTGATAGACAGAAAGAGAAATAAGATTTAGTTTAAAATAGTAATAGCTATACATGCTGTGTAAGACATATGTGCAGTTTTGTATCAGTGTGGAGAACAGAGTTCTTATAGTTAGTGTTTCCATTGGACTTCAAATGATTTTCAGATTAGAATGTATGACCAAATTAAACATTTGAATAATGTGTAAGAAACTGATGTAAAAATATGTTACTGAGAAAAATTGTATTGTTTCAAAGATAAATGTGGGTGGAAGACTCATCTTGTTTGGGTTACCCTAAACCTAATTCAGATAATTTAAACCAAAGATTGTCATCTGCAAATATCTTCTTTTTATGGAACATTTACAAAATACTGTATAATATCCAAACTGAACCCTTATTAAGAACAAACAGTACCAGATTATACGCTGCTCCCCAAACTGGCAGCATATTTTAATTTAGATTTTACTTATTTGAAACTGATTTCAGGTTTTACATGTTTAAAAGGTGAACAAGATGAGATGTTGGGCCATTAATTAATTTATTGATTAATCAAATTGTCTGAGTAAAGATAAAAGTTTTGGAAGATCTGTATTTTTTTCTCCATTCAATTCACTGATTGGTCTTCCAGAGCTTAGATTAGCATCAGTTCATCCCCCTTTGTTCTTAGATGCACATAACTGGTAAACCATCTCTCTTTGTGATAACAATTTAATGTGTTATATTTGAATTGTTTGTTGTTTTACAAGCAGGTTGCGCAGCTTGAATTTCTAGCTGATTAAAATAAAAACTACTTTCTGGAAGTAAGTCATGCAATTTTCTTTGTTTTTTGTAACAAAACCTAATGGAGAAAGCAATGATATTGGAAATTCAATGTTTAAGCCGTAAAAGGAAGGAAGTCTTAAGATCTTTAAATTTTAGAAATGTTTAACTTTCAAGGCTGAGTAGGATTTGTCATTAAATGATTTCTTCATCAGCTAATACTTACTCATGACCACATCCTTGCGGACCCCGTTCATGTTAGACTTGTACCAGGTGGCCAAAGTGTGAATTGCGACAAAATTTGATTCAAACTCGCAATTGGGATTGGTGAGGACCCCCTTCAACCTGGGAATCAGTTCCGTTGAGCGACCCTTGTACGGCCCTAAGAAAAGCCGCTTCTGGTCATAATCATTGGCATGAATGTTGTCCCAGATCACAGGGGCTCTTCTCAGGATCTTTGACACCTCCTCAATGGACTCTACTGGGATTTCTTTAGAAACCACTTTGGGACCTACACACAGAATAAAATATTCAAACCAATGATGAAAACGTCCAAACAAATGAGACACTCAGACACTCACCTGTCCACAGCACATCAATGCTAGGCAGCAATTTCTCTCCAACTGTGTGGAGGTAGGGAGATTGCGAGACATTTGGGTAGCAGAACGTCCCACAGTACTCTACAAAAACAAATAACACAGGCATTCAGAACTATATCAATTTTGCAAAAACAAAAAAACAACTTATGGAATATAACTGTAGTACCTGTGGGGCAAAACAGGAAGGTTTCGGGCTCTCCCAGGTACTGGTAAATCTCATTTGTTAAAGAAACCTGAGCATGAGCAAAGGAGCTGAACACTTCTTTATCAGCAGGGCACATGTTGTGGTCAATATCATCAAAAAGTAAGGCAAAGGACTTGCAGCCAAAATGTGTAACCTGCAGGAAACAAAGAAGATACATTTTTAAAAAGGGGATTGATTGAGTTTCTGGTACCTTAGGGATGTTCAACCCTGGTTTAAGGTCATCATCTTTGGAAAAATAAAACAATTGAATACCTGATCAAGCTTTCTTTTAAGTGCCGTGACCTCTTTCTGATTGGAGAAGGTTATGTCTAACCCAGGGGATATGGCATATATAAACTCTATTCCATGCTCCTTGGCAGCACTAACTAAAGTCATAAGTTGTTCTGTAACAGATGATAGGGGGAAAAAATGGTATACAGAAATTTAAACAGTATGATTTGCCTTTCTTAAACCACATTTTATGGTAAGAATCAATTACAAAATATTCACCAGCTTCTTCCACTGAATACATCTCTCTCCAGAACATTCTGTGTTTGTAGTCATCTTTAGGTGCATATAGATATGTGTTCAGTCCCCATTTCTGTTGCCTGTAATTCAGTCAAAATCAAATAGGGAAATAAGTGCCACGAAATAAAAAGCCCAGCTGCCATCTGATGGACTCAAGACTAAATATTACCTTCTGAACAGCTCTTTTCTCTGCTCCATAGTCCAGGGGCGCCCATAGAACCCTAAGGAAGAGAAATTATACAAGTTTAACAAGTCAACATGGCAGCTATTTGAAAGGACACATACCTGGAAGTAGGTTTATACCAGAAAAAACATCAGGGCTATTTTTGCAATAAATAATCAGGTAAAAAAAAAAATGTTGGCATCTGGTAATCAATAATACTTTTAAATAATCTAATGAAAAGATAATTCAGTGGAAAGGATGATCCAAGATAGTGTGGTGGGCAAAAAGATGTTAAAATATTCCCAATCAATATGGTCTTAGCATTGGTGGATCATTGAGCTGGCAAATCAAAGAAAAAAACCTGCCATGCAACACCTCTTTTTGCAAAAACCGTCATTTTATTTTAGATTTTATTATTATGCAAAGAACAGCTCTGACTACAAACATTCATCTGACATTATCTTCTTGAAATCTAAATTATAGTTTCTGCGCAGCAATCTAGTAAGGTGGGCACATATTTGGTGCAAACAAAGGCCCACATTATGCAAAAGCACATGCATGCAAAATAATTCAAATATATGATCCGTAATAAATCAAAAACGTTAAAAAATATGCTAATTAAAATGCCATCAATCTGCCTTCAGACAACAAAGAATATGGAACCAGTGCAGCAATTTTACTTTCGATATCTTCGCAGGTATAAAAGACTAAATATATAGATTAAATGTTTAGTGTTAGTCACAGTAGTACCTTCGACAACCCCACTGATGAATTTTCTGTGGCCCGTCGTTTCCACTACGATGCCGGGGTCCGCCACTGGGCCCGGGGCCTCCACGCAAGCCTCTCCAGAGACTGGGCTGGGGCTCGGCTCTACATCTAACGGAGGAGTGTCTAAAATCTTGTCTTTCTGAACCATCGTAGAAATGCTTAGTCGATTCAATCAAGAAATCAAAACGAAAATTGACACAAAAAACACGGATTTTACGTTTAAAGGACCAGCAGGGTCCCCTCAAAGGAAATGATCCGCGTCGCCCACCGTCGTTAAAGCTCACAATGTGAGCAAATACGTTCCTCCTTAAAAAAAATATCACAGCCTACTTTTGCAAAATATTTCTTTAGAATTGTATTCAGACCGCGAACGACGCTGTAGTCGTGAATAAATTTTATAAATCGAGAAAAGTGCCCGTCCGTCTGGGTTCGACCATCCTCTTCGGTTTATGAAAAATTTAACCTACTTTTCTTCGCTTCTTCCTGTTTACACCGAGTGCGCATGCTCAGGAGACTGGCTCAAACCGGTCAGAACCGGATCTGGATGACAAAACAGCAAAGCTTGTAGGCAAGCAAGAGATGGATAACACCATCACTACTGCAGAAGCCATTGTTACTGAACTCTAACTTTGCTTTTTACACATCTGTATTTAACTGTCTATATTTATAAAGCAACAGTCTTATTTATAATAAAATAAATATATAAAATATATAAAATTAATATTGAAATACATGCTAGACTTTATCCATCTTCACTAATTGAAAGTTTTACACATTTGTTTAGCTACCCATTTTTATATATATATTTTATACATGATATGAGGATGGAATTACTGCAGGTTGATACTCTTCTGCAAAAAAAGCCTAATCTTTTGACAGATGTAATCCTATTTTTTATACTTTCGTACGAACAATCTTTATGACTATTCTGAGACAAATGCCACCAAACCTAGGTACTAGAGTTTATTATAAACATTGTTTCCTGTTCATTTGAATGAAGAGTTCTGAAGATTTACTGTTTTGCATTTGGATCTAGTGCAACTTAACATTTGAGCAAGACCCTTAACCCCTGATTGCTCCCTGGGCGCCACACAATGGCAGCCCTCTGCTCCCCAACCAGATGGGTTAAATTTCTCATATGTTATATCAATAAAGTTTAATTATTATTATAACAAAGCATGACATAAAGTAAGATAGTATTACTTATCCAAATGCTGCCTGAATATTTTAGGTTTTTGAGAGTGCTTTATCATACTGTAAGTAGCCATTAGTTAAAAAGGAAAAACATCCTCAACAAGATAGTCAAGGTTAGCGATGAAAATGTTCTCCATACCATTAAACCACCAGAAGCAGTCTAAACTGCTAATACTTGACTAGATGATTCCTTTTCCCAAGAGGTTCATATCAAATGCTGATGCTACAATCAGAATTGCACTGCTAAAATGAGATTCCAAGACAACCTAAATTCAAAGTTGGGTTTATCCTGAATTAATTATAGCCTCAGTTTTCTTGGTGAGAGTTGACAGGTGTAAATGAAGAATAAATGCATTTTGTGCTCAGACTATAGTCTATTCCGTAAAAGTACCGTAAAACTTTACGGAATAACTATGACCTGGATGACTGAGAATCTTCATCAGCACTATAGTCTATATACCTTCTGGTTCATTCTTGTGTGTGATTTTGAAATGCTTGGTGCCATGAAGCCATTACTCCAAAAGAAACACTTAAATTCCAGAATACAATTTCCAATAATCATCCAAGAGGTGAGGCCTGAAATTTAATTGATTATTAATATATTTGGAATAATTATGGGGAAACTTTTAAGTCTTAGAACATCATCCAAAATATTAAATACAAGGGAGGCATCATGTTAGAGGTTTTTTTTTGCTACAGGAGTATCTGATGCTCTTCAGAAAATTGGAAGGCACAAAAAAAATAATAGATTTTAACTAAGAATACATGAGAGATTTGGTGTAGATGGGGCTTCAAAAGAAACAATTACATGAAGCATAAAGCTTTTCTGATTAATAAGTTGCTTAAGGACGGAGTCAGTGCTGTGGATTGGCCATCAAAAAGCCAAATAAACTATGGAGGAATTTAAGACATTCAAACCAAGTCATGCAGTTTAAAGGCAAGAGTAATAAATGTTAAAAAGTGTATGTAAACCTCTAGACTTTAAGAAAATGAAAAAAAAAAAATATGGTTAACAATTGGATCAGTCCTTCTGGTGTTTAGAAAATACAATGCTGGGGATCCTAGTGGACCCAGGATAGTAGAGGTTTATTCTATATTTCATGTCCAAACAAATGTTTATTTGTGGAGGTTTCTAGAATACACCTGTGTAAATCTAGAAATGCACAGCTCAAGACGGCTTCAGGTTGGCGAATCTCTGCAATTTAGATTTCTTTTATTGGAGGTTATTACGGCACTAGTGGCTTGTTTTTTTTTGTATGGTGGGCTGACAGGAAATGGGTACAGAGAGGGGGAGAGACATGCTGCAAAGACCACAGGTCAGATTTTAACCCAGGGCGGCCATGTGGAGGACTAAAGCCCTGAGTGCTAACCACTGTACTTCCAAAGCATGTCCCCGTTCCATTTTCACAAAGAGGGCACTTCCAGTTAGTAAATTAAACTTTTTTTCCAATGTGTTTCACCTCTGATGTTGGATGCTGTGCAGATGAAATAACTTTTCCAATAGCTTTTCATTTTTCTACATCTGTTAATGCAACCATACCAAGTTGGGACATTCTACCTAGGAGCAGCTCATTAACATCTCAAAAGACCATCTACAGGTCCTGGTAGTGCTGATAAGGAGGGCAGAGAATGGATTGGAAGAGAAGGAAATTCAAGCCATTTTGTCCATAAATCATTATGGTCAATGTGAGATGTTTTAGTTACAAGTTAGAACTCCAAGCCTTCACAGGGATCCAGAATGCAGTGTTGTTTTACGGCAATATGGCGGCAGAATCATTCCCCTGACTCAACACCTCTCTGGCCATACAATAACCCAGAGGTTTAAAGGCTAGGAAGCAAAATATTAAGGGTTACATTTACTTTCCTTTGGGGCAATTTAATTATTTGAGAAATGAATGTGTTCACCTTTGGTTTCAGCAATATGTTGCATTCTTAATTTAATCTGAC